GGGCTGGAAGCTCCACCACCGTTATTTCAAGCGCCCTGGGGGTCGCCCACAGGAGTGGGCTTCAGCAGTGTCCAGACCAAGGCAGGCTAAGAGGAAGACCGGACATTGGAAACCCCAGGTCCCAGCACCGCACTGTCCAGCTGACTGACTGTGGACACCATGAGGGACGGCTCTGTGGGCCAATGCAGGGACAGGGTCCAGCAGTGTACTGGGGTGGTCAGATGGGCGCAGGGCAGGCAGGGCATTGGGATCAGTGGTCAGCCCACAGAGCGCTCTCCCGGCCTCCAGCACCCAGACTCCTATGCATCGGGCCCTCATACCCACACCCAGCAGTAGCTGCCACCTGATGCTGCCTGGGGCTGGGAGGACACACTCAGCACGGTGTCCTTCTGGCTTAGGGACAGGAGGGGGCGGAGATCCTAAGGGCCTGGAGTTCCTATAGCCTTCCAGGACTGGGCGCAGGGGTGACACCAAGGGCCCAAGTAGAAAGAAAATGAGTTGGAGATGCTGATGGCAACCTATGTACAAGTGTGCTTAATACAGTCAAACGATGAATTGTTCTAGGATTTGTGATAGCCCCCCAATAAAATGACTAAAAATAAATAAAAGTCGTGGACTGTGGCTTCTCCATTCTTCATAAAGGCTCACTGCCATCCAGTCGATCCCAATTCAGAGCGACTCCCCGGTGGATTTTCTGAGATGGTCATTGTTTCTGGGAGCAGAAAGCCCGGTCGGTTTTTCTCTGGTGGAGTGGCTGGTGGCTTCGAACTGCCGTCGGGCCATGGTCTCCTAGATCCTCACTCCCAGTCGCCCACCAGAGAAGGCCCAGCCAGCCACGTCTCAACCTGGGCTGATGGAGGAGACACCTGGTGGGTAGGGCCGATCCCTCGCTAACCCCCAGACCTTTCTGCTAGCCGTGCCGTGCCGACTCCACCAGACACCAGGGGCGTGACTTGGCACCGCCCCAGGGGCACAGCCACCCCCATCCCTCCTTGGAAAGCCAGATTCAGGGACTCGTCTCCCCACCCAAATGTAGACATCCCTGTGGACATAATGCCCCTGACCATGGGCTTAGACCCTGTCCTTTTAACTGAGTCCACCTCATGCATTTGATGTGCTCAGTGCCCTCCGTGCTGGCCTGGAAGCTCGGTGAACCATCCCTCCAGGTCCGGCAGAGTCTGGGGTCCCTGCGGCCCCGTCCCCCTTTCTGGGTGGGGCACGATGGAGCACATGCTGTGGCAGGCCAAGATGAGGGGGTCATGCCGCCTCCCACGAACTCACACTGGTACGAAGGGGAAACGTCAATGTTATCACTTTGGCCTCTTTTTCTAATCACCTTTGTGGATCCTCCTGAAACCCTTAAGCTTTGTGTCCAGTCCATTTTCCCAGGGCATCCTGGGGGGGGTCTACAGGGGGGGCTGTCAAGTCAGCACACTGTGTTCTGCCCAGTGAGAATGAGCACGCGCCTTTGGTTCCAGCAATTTAAACCACTTCTTCTGAACGGGGTGCTGGAGGGGGCGGGGGGCGGGGGCGGGTATTCCTTACAAATTTCAAGAACTCCAAGAGGTTTTTTATTTATTTCAAATTCCAATAGAATGTTTTATCTAAATATCTTTTTATCACACAGCTGGAACATTGAATGACTTTTTCCAGAGTTAAATACATCCATCTAGTTACAAATTCTAATATAAAGCGTACAAAATATAATGTTATAAACTGTATCTTAAAAAAAAAAGGAAATACAAACTCTACGGTCTCTTGTACTTTCACTGCCTCGGAGGCGCATGAGAGGTGGGTGAGGGGTGCACACCTGATGCTGGGTGACAGGTGGCTCGGCCGGCCGGTATCCAGCAGGGGCCATGCGGCCGGTAGTCCAATCGGACCTAGGGACCTGCTGAACCCTTGCCCCGAGTCAGGCGCCACGGGAGATTTTCTTTTTGCAGCCAACAGTGTTCCACGATGAGAACTTGCCCAAGTCAAAAGCAGTATAGACAAAGGGTGGTCCTGCAGCGTCTGGAAGTAGGGGGTGGGGGGAGGGAGGCAGACGGAGCCCCTCCCGTTTCGCAGTCACCAAACCTCGGGAAGGTGTGTCTTATGCAGAGGGGCAGCCAGGGCAGATCCAGGTAAGCACCGTGTCCACCTACCTCCGAGGGGCGCCCAGCCCACGCAGCGAGACCAGCTCCTGGCTGTACCCACAGTCTTCCAGAGGCGTGAACTGTGGCTTCTGCATATGTGTGCTGCATGCTTCAAGCGTGTGCTGTGTGCGTGTGCTACTGTAGCGTGTGCCTATCCACGTCAGCCACACTCCCTAACACCATGGTCACAGAGTGGCACCTGAGCACCTGCCTTCTCAGAAATTTGTCTTCCTGGGCATAGAGACAATAAATAAATACTGGGGTCGCCTCTCCGGTAGAGGACAACAGACAAACGTCGTCATAAGAAGGTGACCACTCTGTCTTGTGATGCCTGGCCCAGAGCGCAGCCTCCCAGGACCAGGCCGGACGGCGGCCGGGCTACAGGAAAGCTCCCAGAGAAGGGGCTGGACACGTGGTTTTCCGGGTTTGTTTCAATGCTCATTCTTCAGCTTACGGACTGTGAGCGAAGCCCTCCCCAGAACAGCTCTGAGCAGCTGGGCGTGGTGTGGTTTACGATGAGGAGGAGCTGGGGGGGGTGGGGAAGACCAGAGAAGCTGCGAGGGTGGGGTGGGCACACAGACCCTTTACTGTCCAGGTGACGGTGACAGGAGAGGCAACACTGTAAAGACCCGGTAAGAAAGGAGGAAACCGCAGGCTGCAGAGGTAGTAGAAAATGGGACAGTCACGCGTGGGTCACAGGAGTGTCTCACGTGGAACTGATCATTCCAAAATAAAAAGAGTCAAAATATATTGGCTAAATAAATAAGAAAGCACAGATCATCTTAAATAGGTCGGCCAAGTGGAGACCGGGCTCAAGAACC